AGGTCAGTTTCCTAGATAATGCTAGATCCTGGCAAATTGAAAACCAGACTAACTATCATAAAATTCTTTCTACGTCTTAAGTCAGAGCTAAAAATTATAGAAAATTCATCCCAAAAGAGCATGGATATGTACTTACATTTAGGATTCTACGCCTTGGTCAGCCAGTTCTTATTCCAGTCTGGTGTGGCATCAGGCTAACAGGAGGTTTGAAGCATGACTGGTTCACTCACATAGTAGGAAAGGTTTAGCTGCTGAATGTTTCAATAGCAAAACAGAACCCAACCCTGCTAATTTGTCAAGAGCAGAAGTGTGTTACAGTTTGGAGTTTGAGAACTCCAAGTTCAAGTCGTTGACAAGATGTACTGTATGGTAAGGGCTTCTGTCTCTACATAACGGAGGCGCTTAGTGGGTCCTCCAGTCAAATGCAAGTGATCTCCACACACAGGAAAAGACAACATAGCAAATATTGTAGATGAAATCTGTTCTGTAACTAATAAAAGCACATTAACAGAGGAACTATGTTCATGATTTAATCACAATTAAATCCTTACCTCTAAATCATATCACCAGTCCTTTGGTTATCACTCATTGATTTTGAAGAGCTTTCAACCTATTAGCTACGAAGTCATGTCCAAAAGTAAACAAATGTATATATAGAGAGACAACCTCCTCCATTTAATAGGCTAAGAAATCGTTAAAGACAGAAAAGGGACGGAGAATAATCTGACCACCCATGTATAACGAAAACACACTGCTGCCTAAGAGACACAATGGCTCAAACGTGTCATTCATACAGTGTATGTAAACAGAAGCACTGTCTTACTATTGCTCTTCTGAAACCTAATTATCAACTGTTTGAGAATGGCTTAGTTCACTCAATGAAATAAATTACTGAGTATATAAAAATGAATGTTTTGCATTTGATGGTGTGTATTTGAGAAGCTGTATATAAGTAAACTTGGTTCTTTCATTTCTGAGTTATCTGTCTTCTCTGTTCCCTTTCAGACACAATACTTCATTGCATGTCACTTCATCAGACTCTTGACATCGCATGAAAGTGATGCTACATGGGAAAAAGACAGAGATAATTGTGAACTGTCAAAATCCTTTGGGCTAAGAGGCAACACTCAACCTTAGAGTCCTGGGACACAGAAAATTTACCTTTGAAAAAGGAAAGTTATGAGACAGAGCACGGCTCTGAGCTGCCAAATTAAAGAAAAAAAATTGTTAGCCCAGAGGTTCATAATAGTTGATTAAATTATTCAGTATTTTAATACTACCTAGCACCAATGGTCATATTAATCCCTCAATAAATACATCATTATAGATTATATCACCTTTCTCCAGGACATTTAAAGAAATGAGAAATCTATAACAAAATCTTCAGAATGAAAATTCAAAGGGAAGTGAAAAAATTGACATAAATTTAATCTGAGTCTTTACTATTTGGAAATTTAAGGCAAAAATTAAATGTATTAACCTGAGTTGTTTTGCATAGTGTTTCTTATGTATTTCTCTCTTATATCCACCCATTGAACCCTAGTACTTTTATTTTCTTATTATACAATATTAATGTATGTCCACAATGAATCACCTTAGCAACTTTTTAAGCATTTAGCACTTTTGTTAGATTTTCCAGAAGGGAGCATTCATTATCTATTAACAAATCAGGTCATTTTATTCTATTGTCTCTGTATGAAAACTTGGCAGTACTTAAAAGTATAGCACTGAAGAACTGAGAAATTATATTGCAATTCAGATAAAGATGTGTCAAAATTGAAAGAATATGTGTAATTGTGCCCTATAATTCCTACACCTGCTAAACAATGAGTCTTATTAGAATGTTGTTCCCATAAAGCATCTGTGCATTAAGTACATGCTTTCAGGTATCTACAGCACTTCATTGTATTTTGTTATATTCCTGTTATATTTCTAACAAAGCTGGTAAGTATGCTAAATGTGTTCAGTTATGAACCTAGCTGAAAAGATCTTTTTAAATTAAAATAACATTTTTGTAAATTTAATGCCACTGTCATAAGAAATAAAATAAGCAAACCTACAACTATAGAAAAAAATGAAAATTCATATTTTTATTTTCAAAGTTACATCTATGCCATTATCACCAATAGCATTTAAGCCAGTGCTTCTCAACTGATAGGGTGGTGGATCCTTCATTGGTTGAACAACCCTTTCACAGAGGTTGCCTAAAACCGTCAGAAAACACAGATAACTACATTCATTACAAGTCATAACAATAGCAAAATTATATTTTGAAGTAGCTACAAAACTAATTTTATGGTTGGGGGTCACCACAACATGATGAACTGTCTTAATGGGTTACAACATTAGGAAAGCTGAGAAACACAGATTTATTTATCATTGATTGTTATTTATTCTTCTCTCATATATTACATCCCAACTGCAGTTTCCCCTCCCTCCTCTCCTCTCAGTTCCTCCCACCCTCCTCCCCTGCCCCCAGATCCATTCTTCCTCCTTTTCTCTTCATAAAAGAGCAAACCATAACATGCTAAATAGAAGTTAAGCAGGATCTGGCTTGGAGAGTACTTGAATGGGAGAACCACCATTTTCTTAAATATTTATTTATTTATTATGTATACAATATTCTGTCTGTATGTATGCCTTCAGGCCAGAAGAGGGAACCAGACCCCACTACAGATGGTTGTGAGCCACCATGTGATTGCTGGAACTTGAACTCAGGACCTTTGGAAGAGCAGGCAATGCTCTTAACCTCTGAGCCATCTCTCCAGCCCAAGAACCACCAGTTTTAAAGATGTTTTTATTTAGTGTGTGTGTGTGTGTGTGTGTGTGTGTGTGTGTGTGTGTGTGTTCACATGTGCACAGCTCTGGAGACCAAAAGAGGGCATCAAATTTCCTGGAGCTAGAGTTACAGGTGGTTTTAGGCCACATAACATGGATGCTGGGACCTGAACTTGAGTACTGTGGAAGAGCAACAAGTCCTCTTACTCAACGACTGTTCTTTGTCCTGTATTTTGAGTATTAAAGTGTGCTGCAGAGCTGACATCATCAGTGCAGCACCTACCATGCCAGCGCGACTTCCCGAGTTTATATCCGTGACACTATGTGAAAGCCTTGGGCAGCAGCTCATGACCGAGATGCCATCATGAAGAAATCTAGAGAGAAGGGAGAGCAGGGACAGCTGGAGGCTAAGGCTTGCTGGTCAGCTCACAGTCAAATGGAAAATTGTTTTAAATGATGGAGTACAATTAAGGAAGACATAAATCATCAACCCCTGGTCTTCATAGTCATGTGCATAGACATGAGCACATACCTGCACACATACGTGCACACACACATGATCATATACACACTGCATGTTCTCACACATACACAGACAATAAATAAATGACTTAATATTATATAAATGTGCCATTCTGAATTGAAATTTTTTTAAAAGTCACATGCTAATAATATATTCAGATTTATACTAATTTTAATAAGAAAGAATACTTTTATTTTGTGGCATGATTTAATCGTTTGCATCAAGTTAAGTAAATTTGTGTATAGGTATTATATATATTATATATATGCATTTATATGTATATATAATTCAATGCTGAGAGACTGCCTATATTTTACACAATATCTCAATTCTCCAATAGATTAACTTGTCTAAAGATTTCAACTTTTCTTATTATTTATCATCTGTAACTTGGTGGTCAGGCTTAATTTCAATCACACATTGCAAATTTTGGACTCACCTTGAAACTACAATAAACCGGATATCACAGTAAAACACGTCACACATGTTCTGGTTTGTAAACACACGTAAGTATTGTTTACACTATACTATGCTATCTATTAAGTGTTCAAAGCATGTGCAGGTATGTATACCACAATTAAAAAGAATAATTTCTGTGGCTAGAGAGATGGCTCAACAATTAAAAATGAGTATGCTCTTTCAAAGTACTCAGTTCACTTTGTAGCTGCCAAATCAGGCACACGTAGCCAACTATAACTCTATTTACAGCAGATTAAATGCCTCTGATCTGCTTAGGAACCTGTACTCTTGCACATATCACACAAACACACACACCCACACACCACAAACAGTGCACACAATTCTTTAAAATATATTTTATTACTAAATATCATGTCAGAAAGGTTGGTGGAAATGTTAGACTTCAGTGATTTGTGATTCATTTTCAGGAAAGTGATGTCACATCCATGAAAGTCAGTCATGCGTAGAACCCTGAGATCCTTTCCCCCCATGTTGGGAGGTTCTCTAGATGCTTCCTGTCCTAAGGCCAGAGAGAATGATCTATGTTGTGGCAAGCAACACTGGGAGCTGATGACAGAGGCCCCATGCCAGGAACATCCAGAGAAGCAGGTAAACAATAGCTACATAAGCTTCAGTCTAGCCTCTGTGCTGGGAAGCAAAATTTCATGACAAGCAGTAGCTAGTCATTTATTAATAAATATCAAGAACTCTCCAGAAACCTTATTCTTGTCTAATAAACTAAATAAACCATTCAAAACCAGCAATTAGGCAATAGATGCATAAGGACTCAGACAAGTAATTCACAAGAGCCATTTTAAGGAAGTTCGATTGAACTCAAAAGAAAAATTAGCATTCAAAAATCAATTCAATAGTCTAGCACAGAAATTTAGTTGAGATTGAAGTAATTAAAATGAAATCGAACAGAAAGCCTCCCGATATAAGGTACCCTAATAGAGAAGCTCCACTAATAGGTCAGATTAGATAGAGGAAAGGACAAGGAAGCCAAGAGCAGAAGTGAGGATACACAGGAGGAGGAGGAGAAGAAGGAGGAGGAGGCCGAGGAGGAGGAGGAGGAGAAGGAGGAGGAGGAGGCCGAGGAGGAGGAGGAGGAGAACACAACAGGTGAAAAGAGGATTAAAGTTAGTGCAAAGAAACAAGGACAACAATATGGAGGGTATTTTTGGATTGGGGTAGAGGGTAATAGTAGAATGCTTGCCTACCTTAGAAGTAATGTGGACCTCACAAAGATGATGGATATAAAATAACACCCACAGGAGGTTCAGAAGTCATCGGCCACATTCAACGATCACATATATCCCAAGATGCGTTATACCAATCGCTTGATGACTACGAAGGTGATACCCATGATGAGAATATGAATTAGTAAGAATGAAACAATTTCAGTGGTAAACACATACACACACACACATACACAGAGACAGAGAGAGAGAGAGAGAGAGAGAGAGAGAGAGAGAGAGAGTAGCACAGAACCAAGAACGTCTGTGTTAGTCAGTTTATCACTGCTTTAGCAAAAGACTTAAGACTTAATTAATAAATTAATTGAGAGACATAATGGGACTCAGGATTTTAGATATATCAGTTTCCGCTCTATTGGTTGTGTGGTAGCACATCATAGCAGAAATGCCTAATGATGACCCTTCCTAATAATTCTCAACTCATTATGCTTCACCGATTCAACTGTCCTGGAAACCAATTACACAGAGAGACCTTTAGGAAAACACAGTTCAGACTAAACTAGCCCACCTTACAGTGAATGATTCCTCTATCTTATAACACAAGTGCACTTAGTCTATAAGGTTCCCCAAAGTCTTCACTCTTCTAGCAATGCTCCCATTTCTTCTTTAAATAATTTATTTGAACATTATTGCACATTGGTGGGCAACTTTCAGAGATTCCAGAGAACTAGAGTAACAGACTGTTGAGAGTTGCCACAAAGGTGCTGGAAATTGATCCTGAGCCTCTAGAAGAGCAGCCAGTGCTCATTTGGTTTTCCATTTGTTTGGTTTTGTTTGTTTGTTACCAGGATTTCTCTGTAGGTTTGGAGCCTGTCCTGAAACTCGCTCTGTAGATCAGGCTGGCCTCGAACTCATAGAGTTCTGCTTGTCTCTGCCTTCCGTGTTCTCTTAACTATTGAGACATCTCTCCAGTCTCAAAGAAGTCAAACACACCTGTTACCTTTGAGAAACAAGAAAATGAAGTTAAATATTACTAAGAAATAATGATTGGACAGGCATTAAGGAAACATTGCTCTTTCAAAGAGAAAGGACAGAAAATACCATTCGGAAATGGGAGGAGGAAGGAAGTAGAAATTTTGAATGGTATTATTTATAAAGCAATAAAAGAAATGAATAAATAAGAAAATACCATTTGGAATATTAAAACAAAGCAAAGACAGCCAAGAGACACAAAAATTAAATCCTAACATTTTATATCTTGCTTTGGACACATTGTTATGTCGGCTGTGGTCTACAAAATATTTAGGAGGTTCTGTCCATAGAACTTACTGGTGTTGGAGAACTGCTGCTAAATTCTGCCTCAGCTTCCAAAGGTATATATTCTACCTCAATTCATATCCATCTTCTTGGGGTCATTACTGCAGCTGTGAAGCCACTCTGCCAGCTCCACACATTACCTAATTTAGTGTTGCTTACAGGGACTCTGATGCTGACTGGCCACACACAGACTGGCTCTGCAAGCTTCCTTTTGCAATCACAGTGGAAACCTCTATGACCTCATAATCTTTTCCTTCTACCTTCCTGCAAAACTAGTTTACTATGGAATTTTAAGAGAAAAGCAGCAGATGGTAGCATCACCTACCTGGCTCTGCTTATTCAGAATGCAAATGTTATGGGTGTTTATATGTAAAATGTTTCCCCGGGAGTTTCTTTTGCTTGAATGCTTGCACTTAAGCAGGTAGTGCCATTCGGAATGTTGCTTTGAGATGGTCAGTAGAAGTGAACTCTGGGGCTGGGTCTTTCAAGGTCACGTTTACTTCAGACTCTTGCCTTTTAAAATATCTATTCTAGGTACTATCATGGGACAAACCACTGCCATATGCTCCTCCTGCTAGGGGCCTCCATGCCATGTATTCATCACAACGATGGATTGATATTACTCTTTAAACCATGAGCCAAATTAAACTTTTTCTCCCTTAAGCTGATTGTGTCAGGAATTTTGTCACTACAATAAGAAAAGAAACACACAAGATAATGGAGGTTTCCATCAATATTTCAAAGGAAAGATTGGGAGGGTGTGCACTGTGTTGTAGAGTTGAATTTCCTGAAAAACAGCCCTGGGCTGGATAATGTGTTATGTTATAATAGTGATGCCAAAGCTGTAATGGAAATTAGTGAAGCAAGCTGCAAGCAATGCAGGCTTAAGGAGGCAGCAGGATTCACGGAAAGTGCCCTGGAAAGAAAAGCCACATGACCTGTAACCAGCATGTCTAATTCGGTATGCTTAACAAAACTTTAGAATGCCGCATTGCACTATAATTATCCATTGTTTGCTCTGCGTGTTAGGCATGGGGAGTTAATGTTTGTCCTTCTCATTTTCAGTCTTGCTTTAGTACAGTATCTTCTCTCTCTCTCTCTCTCTCTCTCTCTCTGTCAGTATATCAGAAGAGAATTTATACTTATTGTTTTAAGAAAAACTGGAAGAAGAAAGAACTGGAGGAAACCTGGGGTGGGGTGAACTCTGCCCTGTGCTGTGGTGAGGATATGGAACTATGGACTACACACAGAACGCCACAGCAGAATCTGGAATGACTCCTAAGGGCCCATGTGTTAGGCTTCATGGCCTGCTTTGAGATTCTGGGAACTAGTGGAATATTTTAAGAGCATCAGGTAGATTCACATATCTTTCTTTCCTCTTCTTACTCTAGGCCTGGTGGCAAACAATTTTGTTCAATTATGTCCTTGTCATGCCATACTACCAGAAGCTCAATCCATGAGGGACAACCAATTATGAACTTCAAATTCTAAAACTTGAGCTAGAATAAACCCTTCTATTTATAACAAAATTAGCTTTAGATTCTTATGGCAACAAAAGTCTAACACAGTCATTTTTAAAACTTCATGGCACCTCACCAGGATGAGATGTAAAGTGGAGAACACAAGTTTGATCCCCCAAAGACAGCGATTCTCACCCACTGAAGGTTTCATGAGATTGCAGCAATGAAGTAATGCCTTTGAGCTTCAGTCTGAATCAAACTCCCAGATGCTATCCCTGAAAATGAAATCACTTCTTCCATCCAGGTTTCTTCATGTCAAAGACAGCCATCACTGAAAGGAGGGAACTAACTCCTGCTGCTGTTGACGCCTCCCCCATGAATCTTAAATGTTCTCACATCCAGAGTGACAGTGATTTCCAGAAGGTTCCCAATTTACTTCTCCCTAACCATTCAAAGGAAGATTATCAATGCAAGATATACATTTACCAAATATATGAGAATTGAAAGTCAAAATTGTTACTTGATCAAGAGCTGCAGAATGAGTGTTGCTTACAGGTGTGAAAGTAGCATTTATCACTCTGATCACTTCTGTCAAATCTGGGGTTGATCAGTGCCTCATAATTGAGCAGTGATATTGAAAGGAATAATGTGTTTTCTAAGCAATGGCATTATATTTTCAAACAATTTTTAATAGAGAAGGAAAAGTGATATCTTCCTTTTCTTTTTTCTTTCTGCTTCTATTCACAGACAATGAACTCCAGTGTGTTTTAGACAATAGGTCATGAAGCAATTACACTTGAATATTGTGATGACAGAACTTGGCTTCAGGAGGGGAAATCACATGTAGAGTAGAAATACTGTTCTTAGAGCTATTGTTGTTAAACTTTATTAATCAATTATTGACTGATTTTCTATTAATATATCAAACAGTGATAATATTTGAAAGCCACAGAACTATTAATTTTATGAGATTGTATAACAAACTGAGTTCTTTACCATCTTTGTTAAGTATTCAGCCCAGCATTGGCTAATAGCTTGACCCTCACTAAACTCTGACTTTCTAGTTCCTAAGTTGAATCACACCCATATAGAAAATCAAATCTTCATCATATGTCCATTTCAATGAATTCCAGTGTTGTATTATTTAATCATGGATCTGTAGCTTTTGTCTAAATACTAGGCATGTGCACTGGCAAATTTTTACATCATCTTAGCACAAGCTAGGGTCATTTTCAAAGAGGGAATATCAATTAAGAAAATGTCTCCACCAGACTGGCCTATGTGCAAACATGTGGTGCATTTCTTGATTGATAAATGATCGGGATGAGCTGAGGCCACTGCAGTGTTGCTACGTCTCAGCTGGTGGTATTGAATACCATGTTACTTCTCTGTTTGAGCTCCTGCTCTGATATTTCTCAGTTACGGACTGTTACTTGGAAATGCATGATGAATAAACCTTTTCCCCTCCAATTTTGTCATAAATACTTGCATAAATGTTTTTCATGTTATAAATTATAAACTAGAACCTAAATTTATTACTATATTGAAATATTTACTAAATATTAATTTATTAAATACATTGGGGCTAGTGAAATAACATGGTTTTAAATAAAATATTTTAAGTAAACTTTTGGAATCTTCATAATGTCTGTCTTAAAGTAAAATCATTATTATATGACTCAAAATCAAAATTATGTGAATCATTGGTTTCACATAATTACTTCTGCATTTATTCTGTTGCAATCAGTTTTCTTGGCTGAAGAATATGAAGAAAATCAAAGGCTACAGAAATGGTAAGTCAGAAAACAGGAGAATAACTTTGTTCACCCTTAGTTGTTTATTGGGTATCAAGTTTCCAAACATAAGTCTTGCTAGCCATTGATGTGGGAACTACAAAGCACTGCACTATATTCAAGCTATTGACAAGAACCACTCATAGTCATGTAACTTGTGAACCTTACCAAAGCCGAGATTCTTGGAGTTTTCAAATATCAGCTTACACATCTCAAAGTGTGTGTGTGTGTGTGTGTGTGTGTGTGTGTTGGTTTGAGGACCATTAATTGACAGGATTTCTTAACATTTTTTCTTTCAAACCACCACTCATGAATGGCATATTTAGAAAATAGTGGTTCAATCAATTATATGGCTTGATCAAATGTTGACCTTCCATATAAAACAATAAAGTCCATGCCATATCATAGTAACAACAATTAATATCAAAATATATCTGACAATTTCTAAAATAAAAGTGTCAACTGCTTTCAACACTAAAGTATATAAGGAGATTAACTGATCAGTCAGCTTTGCTTGATTGTGTTGAATATGTACATATATCAACACAGCTCTTTGTGCCCATAAATCTGTACAATTAAAACTTATCAGTTACAACTACAAAGACAGCACAAATCTGGTTGATACTAAAACAAATTTCATGGAAAAGACTTTGTATGCATGGAGCTATGAAAGAAAAAAACTTAATTCCTTAAAGTTGCCCTGTAATTCATCAGGGCAAACACAAGTACTCACACACACCATCTTCACAAGCATATTAATGATAATGATGATGATGATGATGATGATAACTATACAAGGTAAGAAAATTAAAAATAATGTGGTCTAGCTGATTTCACACTATTTTATTTTTTATTGAGTGCTACATTTTTCTCTACTTCCCTCCTTGCCTCTCCCCTCACCTTTTAATCCTGCCCCAGGTCTCTGTGCTTTCAATTTACTCAGGAGATCTTGTCTTTTTCTACTTTCTACTTCCCATGTAGATTAGATCTATGTAAGTCTCTCTTAGTGTCCTCATTGTTGTCTAAGTTGTCTGGGATTGTGGTTTATAGGCTGGTTTTCTTTGCTTTATGTTTAAAAGGCACCTATGTGTGAGAATATGTGATAATTGTCTTTCTGTGTCTGGGTTACCTCACTCAAAATAATGTTTTCTAGCTCCATCCATTTTCCTGCAAAATTCAAGATGTCATTATTTTATTCTGCTATGTAGTACTCCATTGTGTAAATGTACCACATTTTCCCTATCCATTCTTTGGTTGAGGGGTATTTAGGTTGTTTCCAGGTTCTGACTATAACAAACAAAGCTGCTATGAACATAGTTGAGCACAGGTCCTCATGGCACGATTGAGCATCCTTTGGATATATACCCAATAATGGTATTCCTGGGTCATGAAAAAGGTTGTTTCCTAATTTTCTGAGAAATTGCCACACTGACATCCATAGGGGTTGTACCAGCTTGCATTCCCACCAGCAATGCAGAAGTGTTCCCTTTTTCCCACAACCTCTCCAGCATAAGTTGTCATCAGTATTTTTGATCTTGGCTATTCTTACAGGTGTAAAATGGAATCTCAGGGTTGTTTTAATTTGCATTTCTCTGAGGGATGGCTCAGCCATTAAAGGCTAGGCTCACAATCAAAAATATAAGATTTTACACTATTAAATAATATGCTCAGATTGCATGAGAGCCATTGTTTAAGGATATATAGAGAAGTGTTTGAACTTTAAAATAACAAAAAAGTGAACCAAAATAAAATATAAATAATATTGGAAAGGAGAATTTAAAACAAGGTAAGGCAACATTCATTCCATAAATTATAGATTTTCAAAATAGGACAACTGAATATTATTGTAAAGTACATGCAAACTTTCAAAAGTTTCACTGGGATGTCAGACTATTGACAATC